CTCCCCCCCCCCCCCCGTTTTCAGGCTCTTCTGTGGCTTATCATAAGGGAGCCCTTTAAATCCATTAAGATCTAATCCATAAGAACAGGTACTGAATGTTACAGATTTCTTATGTTTTCATATTTCAGTAAAAATGTGATCTTCCCTGTCCCCCTCCTTCCCCTTTCCTCTCCATCACTTGCCCGCCTCCTTCCCTGTCAACTGATGCCATTGCCAGTCCTGATCTCTTTTCCCCCTTTCTTCTGTCGTTACCAACCCTTGACACTTGCTCATGTTCTTCTCCTCTTGGGGCTTAATTGGCTCTAGCACCAGAAACTAGAATGGGAATAGCAAAATTGAGGAATTTGGGTTTTTATAGGGTTTTTACTGAAACGCATGGAGCCTGTCAGACTCCCAAAATGGAAGGCAAGCCACCTGGAAAACAGCAAAATTAAATGAAAATGAATTTTTCTTTCTCTTGCACATCCCCAGTGCTGCTGATCTCATAACAAGCCATTATGATCCAAACAAATTTAAGTTGGCTTATGATTGTATCATAATGCCTCATTCTCTAAAGCAAAGGGAGACGTGTGTTTCAACCATTTCTAATACAAACATCACTACAGTAGTTGTAACTGCGTATTCTAGTCATTTGAACACGATTAGCTGAAAATGTAGTTGGGTTTTTAATAGAGACACATATCTACTCTGTTTCCCCGAAAATAAGACCTAACCTGAAAATAAGCCCTAGTATGATTTTTCAGGATGCTCGTAATATAAGCCCTATCCCAAAAGTAAGCCCCAGTTAAGTGAAACCCCACCCTCCAGCACTGTGCAGCAACGAGAAGATGACATGACTGTAAAATAAAACATCCCCTGAAAATAAGCCCTAATGCATTTTTGGAGCAAAAATTAATATAAGACCCCGTCTTATTTTCGGGGAAACACAGTACGAGACGACACATAAAAAAATACTAAATTGGCACTCACTTCTACAGTTTTGTTTTCTACCCAATCAAGAAAAATGTATCATTTTTGGTTTTCTCTTGCACACTCATTCACGCCCTTCAGTACATTTCCTGTAGAATACATCAGTCACCAAACAGAGTTATGGCAGTGCAGCAAATGTTTGTGGTAATTCCAAGTGAAAAGAGCTACCCAATATTTCATGCATTCACGCAATAACCACAATCCAGGGGTCTATGGGAACCCTGTCTTAACCATGCAGGAGGAGTATCCTGGTGCACTGCTCTGATCATTTCCACCAGCTAGGCAAATGATAGAGCTTCGCTCTTGTTCACTTATCACTTTGGCTGGCTGTAAGCAGCTCCTATTCTTTACTCTGGTCCTTCCCAAAAGATGTAAGCCAAGGATACTTTCACTGGATACTTTCACTGGTGTCTTGGGAAGAAACCAAGCACAATTGAAACGGACCACTGCCAGACAACACATTCAATCAACAGCTGAGTGAAGGTCCATAGTTTATTTAATTTGCAAGTGGAAGTGATTGAGTAACCATGTGTCAGCCTTTATAAACAGGAAGATGGAGATGGAAAATAAGCAATACAAATTAAAACATTGGAACAGTAGAGCTTGTCCTCCTGAAATATGTTCATTATATAGATACCTCATAAAGGCACAGGGGCCATTACGAATGTCTTCCTATAAACTGCTGAGCAACCTGTACTTGTTGTATAGATCAAATGTTACTCTGCTTTGTTTCCAACAGAGGGCACTAGAGGCTAGTTATTGTTTCCTTTCTTTCAAAGCATCAGGAGCCTTACTCTGATGCTGACCAAAAAAAAAAAGAAGAAGAAGTGAAACATTTCCATAAGCAGCAATGGCAGAGAGTACAAATCTATTAAAGATATTACAACTGTTCGGACAGATGTTAGTCAAAATCGGAATTTATCAAAACTGAAGTCCAGATTTGGTACTTTTCTGGTGGGCTGCTAGATTATTATGTGTATCAAGAAACTCCTTTAATTCTACTTTCAAGAGGGGGGGCATGGAATCTATTAAGCATTAAGTTTGTTCATTTTTAAAAGGCCACAACCTCACTTTGGAATAAAAACAAGTCACTGAGGCAATATTTAATATATCTTGATAGCTGTGCTGGTTTGAAAGTGCCATACTGATGTTTAAAAAGACAGGAGGGTTCCAAAGAAATTAAATTACACATAATGCACACACTTGCTCATGTACACACAGGCACACACATATGCTTACCCTTACGTTTCTTCATTTTCAAGAGACTGATAGATCCAAAAGGAAGAAATGCTCTGCTAGAAGCCATCGTGACAGTGTATAGGAGTAGAACATTCTAGTATTCGTGAAGGCTTATGGTTGTTGTTTTTTCGGGCTCTTTGGCCCGAAGGTTTATGGTTGTTGTTTTTTTGGGCTCTTTGACCGTGTTCTGAAGGTTGTTCTTCCTAACATTTCGCCAGTCTCTGTGGCCGGCATCTTCAGAGGACAGCTCTCTGTGGTCTGGTGTAGTTGGCTTGGGAGTGCAGTATTTATGGCTGTGAGATAGGCTTTTGTCTTTTTCTGTAGATGGGTGATTAGTGTGTCTTGTTGTGGATGTATTGTTGTGCTAAGAAGAGATTATCTGTCACTGTGGTTGATGGGTGATCATTCTAGCTTTGTTTTTCCAAGATAGTCATGTTCTGCTTTTAACTGATAATTTTGATTAATATTATCATTTTTATTGCACAGTAAGGGCCAAAATGTGGTTCAAATATATTTTTATTAAATAAATAATTACTATATCATTTGACTCCTGTTGTAAAAAATATGCCTAGACAGAAACAAATGCTTTCTTATAATATTTACAAAGGTTTGGAATTTAAACTTCAAAAGCAACCTTCATATCACCCGTGCCAGATAATACAGTCAAGATTGTAACATACACAAAGAAACATACATCATTTTAAGAGTCAGGTGTCACATGATGTCCATGGATTTTACCTGACTTCTGAGCATGGGTTCCAAAAATCATGTTTTTATTATTTATTCATTCCATTTCCCTGTTTCTATTTTTATTTCATCTTTCTTCCAGTGCAGAGACCCAAGATTCAGACTATTTCTGTGGCAATACAAACAGCCAAAGAGCTAGCTTAGCAACAAGCTGAAAAGCTGGGGACTCCATTTGGCTTGGGGAGAACTGTGGACACCTGACAAAGGGTGAAATCCAATTTTTAATCCCAGCTACCACAAATCCATTGAATGAATGGGAGGTTAATTGAACACTAATGTAAATCCCTTTGATCCAATGGGGCTACCACAGCTGGAGCTAAGCACTGGATTTCTCACAAAGGCTGCAGTCCTTTGCATGTTTAGTTGGGACTAAGCCTAGCTGAATTCAAGGGACCTTAGTTCTGAGCATACATGTACAGGACTGTGATTGTTAAGCCAGTTCACAGTCCTTTATTGCAGCTGCTTTCTCTTTAATGCAATTCCACCACTTGCAACCTGTAGCTGTCCTTCAGTGCCTCGTCCACACTTGCTGGCAGGGAATGAATCCTTGCAAGCGCTTTTAAAATGCGTATAGTGCAATTTTTTTTCAGTGCAATTTATATTTAAAACTTGCCATTGACAAATGCATACATCATATGTTAAAATGCAATATATAATTAATCAATCTTCCCTTCATTATGAAAATCTGAAAACAATGGTGAAATAAATTCCTTATTTGGCTCCAAAACAGGTAAGGGAAATCCCTCTCCTAACTTATTAAAAGAACATAATTTCTGAAATAACGCTTTCCTTCCTTCTAATAAATATAGGTAGGACCATCCTTTCAAATAGATCCAGCTGCCCTGCTACATTCTATAGTCTACTACATCTGTTGCCGAATCATAACATCCCTGTTTAGTAGTTTTTAATATGGTTCATTGTCAGATTTATCTCTAGGCTTTTCAGCTTTTGACGCTTGTCGGGCTAACCGAGGTGGTGGCAGTGGCTTGGTGGACCTGTCGTCTTCTGCTGCTTCTTCTTCACTGAGGGTGCCAAACGCTGGTCTAGGCAACAGGGGTTGCCTGAAGCCCCTGATTCCCAGAGGGCGACTCACTGGCTCTCTGTCCTCCCCGTCCGTTTCATTCTTCCATTCGATTCTACATGGCTGTTGCCGAAGTTTCTGGTCTCTCAAGATTCTTCCTGCTTCAGATTTTAAATTCAGCACTGTGGTATGGTCAGATTCAGAATCACTGCTGTCACTTACTGTAAATTTAGAAAATTGCACATTAATAAATGTTCTGAATATTTAACTCATGACAATATATTATGAAACAAACATTGATGATAAATATCTCAGAATGCCTAACACACATTTTTTTTCTCTCCCCCCCCCCTCGCATGAGTGCATATGTGTCCCCGATTCCTGCATGGGTATCTTTTTTTACAGTTGGCTTTCTGTTGTAAAATAATAATAATAATGTCCCTTGTGAATGTCGTGTTTTTTTCTTTTTTCTTTTCCTTTCCTCTCCTCTTTCCTTTCCTCTTTTTTGGCACACTAACATTTTATTTGATATGTGACCCCACATGGAATGGTATTTAGAATTTGCAAATATATATAAATGACAACCTCTAGAATCCCCCAGCCAGCATGTTTACTTTTCTGCGAGCTATAATCGATACAATTATTCCCATTTCCCAGTGAAAAATGCATATTCCTTCTGACATAAAGGAATACTGTGTCTCACCACAGTCTGGGTCAGTGCAGGGGGGGGAGAAGAGCGGAGAAAGCTGTTTTGTGGGTTATGTTAGCATCTGGCTGCAGAGCCAAGAGTCAGGTGTTCAGTTCCCCCACTGTGGGCTCCGAGAAGAAAAGCTAACCTGTGTAGCCTTGGACAGGTCGCACAGCCTCAGGTCATCCCAGAAGAAGGGAATGATAAACCTTTTCTGAATATTTTATACCTAGAAAACCCTAGAAAGGATTGGCGTAAGCCAGAATCAAGATGGCAGCATGTCTTTTTCGGGAGTTTTGTTTCGTTTTCCGACCTCACAGAATTAATCCTAGAACCTGAGCTGCACTTTTCCACAATTGCATCATGAGCATGCGCAACATTTTTCTTGGATCATGTCTGCTGCCTACACAGAACTGCTTGTGCCACTGGAAAATTGTCACTGTTTTGTTATAGCACTGTTTGTGAGTACAGTTACCATTTGTGCTACATAAGTTATAAGAAGAACCAGAGAAATAAAAGCAGATCCATCCACTGTGCGGTTGAATCAGGGCAGAAAACAATGAATGGTCCTCCAGAGTGGTCTTTCTTAAATTCATCCTCTCTCCATCCAACCCACTGGGGTGCATTCTGCTCTCTGGGACTATGGAATCCATGCTTTCTCTCCTTCACTTACAGCAGTGGTTCCCAACTTTGAGCCTTAAACTACAATTCCCAGAGGCCTTCACCACTAGCTGTGCTGGCCAGGATTTCTGGGAGTTGTTCTCCAAGAACATCTGGGGATTCCACATTTCTCTAGTGCCTTACATCATCATGAGCCGCCGCAGCAGCAGCATGTGGGCCCCTTGTGACTATAAATCCACACCGTATTTTGAAAGCGTAGCATAGAAACATGATGTTTTGGACAATAGCTCCCAGAATCCCCCAACCAGGATAGCTGAAGGATTCTCGGAGTTGTAGTCTAAGAAAGAATTTTTAAAAAAAGCTCTGCTTGGGCCTTGAATGCTAACTTCCTTAAAAAAGAGAGAGAGAGAGAGAGAACCAACTTTGGTAGGGGGGGAGGTGGGAATCACACCAGGCCGCACTTGAGCTAAAATACGAAATAAAGAGCAAAAGAATTTTAAGGTTTATGAAATGGCGGCAGGCTGATAAATGACCACAATGCTATCATTGTATTGCTATTCCAGAGGGAACCTGAAGTAGTAGTGCAGGTCATGGCTGTACTTAGCTCTTATTCAGCACTTTTCAGCTCAAAAGAGCTTTTTACAAAGGCAAGTAACAAAGAGCAAGATCTAGCACACTGAGATAGATACAGTGGCATGAACAGGTCTCCGATTGCTACCGTGCCCTAGTCACTATAGCAACTGCATCAAAGCTTGGGTTGCCACTTGTTTGAACTTGATGTTCACATGACAGTCACTATGTTTACAATTTCAAACATCTGCATGCTTACAACACATGTCCTACTTAAAGCAAAGTTTTGGAAAAAGACAAGCCACACACAATGCAGCGGTACTGAAAATGTGCAGTATCAGGAATCTATGGCTGTAGTCCAAAAAAATCATGCAGCTAGTTCCACATTACCATGGCGGGGGGTAGTTTCAGCTTGTGGTTCTTAAATAGTTCTATAATGGCTTGGCAAACTGGTCTGAAGACTTGGAAAAGCAGCTTATGGCGTGGAAGCCTACAGCCGAACTGGAAAAAGTAGAGAAAGATAACTGGGAGTGCTCAAAATCTTGAATGCTCTTTTGGTTTGGGCCTCATTCTGTAACGTCAGAGAAGAACAAAAGACTCTTCCAGAGAATTGATGCTGTTGCAACAGAGCCTTTATTGCATGCCCCCACTCTTGTCTCTGGTCAAACAGGTTCTGCAGTTGTTTTTAACTAAGACAATGTACAACAGCAGAACTGAAAGTATGGGTGTGTGCCCCTCAGGTAATGATGGCTTTACTGTATTCCCTTCTAGGTCATGCTCCAGGTTGTGAGGGAGGAGTACAGCCAAATACTACCCGGTGGACCCCATGCCCCACCCTCTTTTATGAAACACAACACCCTCTTTCTGCCCTCCCCTTCCAGACAGAAAGTAGGCAGCCACCATTGTTGCTTGTCGCTTTGATCACTTGTCTGTGTAGACAGGAAGCCTCCACCTCAAGGGCTATCATGTTATCATTCAGATGCACATTATACTGTTAGCAAGTGTCCCCAAGTACACATGTCTAACAAGGTGCTTGTACTTAACCAATAGCTGACAGGAATCTTCGACTGAAAGATCAAAGATCAAGGATGGCAATTACTAATGAAGTGACAGAGTCGGAGACTGGGATGATTCAGTACAAATTTTATTATAATTGAACAGAAAAATATACACACAACCTGATAGGTCTGAGCTACAGGGTTAAATGTGCAGCAAGGACCCCTGAGAAAGAGAAGGATATGTAATATGTTCATATATTGGGAAGAAAAATATCCAAAATGGAAGCAGGGTGGTCTGAAAGACCTAAATAGATACGTTGGAAGTTAAACTGGAAGAGGGAAAGAAAGAGAAAGGTGAATACTATGCACCTCAGGATGTACAAGTAACATGTTTTGGCCAGAGAGGAAAGGTGAAGAATTGAACATTAGAGTGAGCAAGCAAGCAAGACAGAGAGAGAGAGAGAGAGAGAGAAGCAGCAAGGGCCATGTACTGAGGTTCTCAGAGAAATGCTATGAACTGTGAGACCCATTCATACATAGAAATATATGGATAATGCTGGTAGGTCCATGTGAATGGCTAATCTCTTTCAAGATTTTAATAATAAGTTGTGATGATTATTTACAATCAGAGATGTGAAATTGTCAAGATATGAGATTTTATACAGTAGGATCCCCATATCTGCGGATCAGTTCCATCCCCAGCAGATGCCAAAAAATCATGGATAATAGTAGATCCTATATGCATAGCGTTCCGTGTCTAAGTCGCACTGGCCATGTGACCACGGAAGATTGTCTTCGGACAAACGCTGGCTCCATGGCTTGGAAACGGGGATGAGCACCGCCCCCTAGAGTCGAACACGACTGGACAAAAATTGTCAAGGGGAACCTTTACGTATACGCATAGCGTGGTCTCCCTTTAGTGGTCAGTTCTGGTAACTACTTTGTGAAATTACATATTTCTGGATTTTTTTTCTTCTAATATTTTTAGTATTATCAGACCACAGGTAAGTGAAACCACAGATACTGATCCCATCTATATGCATAGCGTTCCGTGTCTAAGTCGCACTGGCCATGTGACCACGGAAGATTGTCTTCGGACAAACGCTGGCTCCATGGCTTGGAAACGGGGATGAGCACCGCCCCCTAGAGTCGAACACGACTGGACAAAAATTGTCAAGGGGAACCTTTACCTATACGCATAGCATGGTCTCCCTTTAGTGGTCAGTTCTGGTAACTACTTTGTGAAATTACATATTTCTGGATTTTTTTTCTTCTAATATTTTTAGTATTATCAGACCACAGGTAAGTGAAACCACAGATACTGATCCCATGGATATGGGGGCCCTACTGTGTAGAGAGAATGCTAAAACAATTAAGGGTGTGTGTAGAACAACGTACTGTAATCCTGAAAGTGTACACTGTATTTTAAAAATCAGATTTGAACATTGCTAAATGTTACTGCAAAACAATAAGCTCTCCAGCCAGGTTTGGCAGGAAAGTATATAAACCACAAAAAGGTTTCTAGAAAAAGAATGTCATTCATAGCTAACAGTACAGTGTGAAATTAAACGAAAGACTGAATTGATAGTATATTTAAATAATTGTGTTGTAATATGTAAAACATAAACATGACAGGCCCATGGTGTTTCAGATTCTGTGATTTGTTCTACTTATATTTTGCTAGACCCTTGTAGTTTCAACTCATTGTAATCTGTTGGCTCTGTAACTGTTAGTTATAATGTTTATTATCATGGTGGCAGCTTGTAAGGTTCCTATTTGCAGGAACTGCATTAACAGAAGTTATAAAGCAATACAAATTTCTATTATAAATTTTCCCCTGGTGAACCAAGACCCTGTAGTTACAGGTCCAGCAAAAGACAATGTTTACAATTTAAGGAAAAATGTAAACATCTGGGAGAAATATAAATATAGGGAGGTAAGAGATACAAAAAAAACCCACCACACACAAACAAGATAGCAACACAACAACAATGGATAATAACATTCATGTAGCAGTAGCAACAACAATGACCACACACAAACAAGATAGCAACACAACAACAATGGATAATAACATTCATGTAGCAGTAGCAACAACAATGACAGCAGAGAAGGGCAACATGAATTTCATCCATAGATTTGAACTGGTTTGGCTGGGTGAGCACTTTGAATATTTTTCTGTGTGTCATTAATGATATTCTTAAAGGCTAAAGATTACTTAAAGCTATAATGCTTTTTATTTTTTTAATTATGTATTTTAGAGGTGAGATGATGTTGCATGGAATTACTGCAACTATGAAAAGACTGAAATGTTGCTACCCAGATGAATTTTGATATTATTGGAAATGATTGTCAGAATTCATTCTGGACTTAACTCTACAGTAAATGGGATAAATGACAGTTATGATGAACACAGGCTTCTGATTTTTTTCCTAAATAGCTATAAAGTTCTATAAGGCTCTTGGAAGATGTTCATGTACCATATTCCTTAATCTGACAATACCATCCCTGCCTACTACCCAGATGAATTTTGATATTATTGAAAATGATTGTCAGAATTCATTCTGGACTTAACTCTACAGTAAATGGGATAAATGACAGTTATGATGAACACAGGCTTCTGATTTTTTTCCTAAATAGCTATAAAGTTCTATAAGGCTCTTGGAAGATGTTCATGTACCATATTCCTTAATCTGACAATACCATCCCTGCCTGATTATACTGTGCTTTTTCAAATCCTACTTATCTTTGTCTCTGTTTTGTATCAGGCTGTGGGACTTTAGGGAGAACTCATGTGATTTTTTTTTCACATTAGAAAAAATTACTAATTTTAATATATACATATTTGTATGCATTCTCCTATTCTTGAAAGCATTCTGTTCATATATGCCAAACGCACATATTTTAGTCACTCGCATTTTTAAGTGTACACATGGCTTTATGGATATTATATTTCTCCAAAGTGCACTGCAGTGACCAGATTTCAGAGGAAGTGGTACAGATTTCAGAGGGTACACTTTGTCTTGCACAACATCTCTGGGGGGTGTAAATATATACCTTCACTGATATATCGGCACAGCAAAATTCTTTTCCATCCTTGTCTATAAGTTCACTGAGTTGGTGCTTACAGCTATGGGGCAGGGGTCAGGAGTTAAATTCGCTATTGTTCCTCTAGGGAGAATAGCCAGCCTGTGTGATTTGGGGCAAGCTACATGGTCTCGGAGAACCCTCAGAAGAAGGGACTGGTAAAACATTTCGGGGAATTCTGCACCTTGGAAACTCTGAGAACAGTACAGTAAGTCAGACTTGGTGGCACACAATTATAATACACAGTTTTCTGAATGGTGGTTTACCCTCCCCTGGGCTCTGATTGGCCAAATTAAAAGAGTGTTCCAATGTGGATTGTATGCAGTAACAGCTACATTCATAGAAAGGTATTTGCATATATAAAGAGGTCAGATGCCTCTTTGTGTCATGAAAATGAAACATTCTGTCTGTTAGGAAAGGACAGGTAATGTTCACTGCTGCTCACTTCCTTTGTCCAGCTTATGACTATGCAAAGTTCCACAGACAGAGAGATTTTTTTTTCTTGAACCAAAGCACTTAAGAGGCATAATTAAGACAATAACTTTGGAGCCCCTCATAAAATAAACGAAACAAATGGCAGATATAAGACTGCATATATAAACGCAAGCAAACTATGTAAATAGACTTGCTTGAGAGAATCATATGTACATATACTGTACATCCTTAGGTTATTAATGTCAAATAAATGAGTCAAGGTTTCTATAGAGGGAGGGAAATTCTCTTGAAAGTATGAACACAGCCCAATACCCCTATCTGACATTTCTTTCCCAAGCAGGTCAGTAAAAATGGCTGAAAAATTCACTCTTCTTTTGATTCATTACCTTTGAAAGAAGACTGATTTCTTTTCCGAACTTTCTCAGCAAGTTTAGTATTTTTAGGTAGCGACAGGTAACGTGGTGCTTTGGTGGCCACCTGCAGAAAAAAGCAAAGTAAAATTCATGAAGGATGAGCAATTAGTGGACCTTTTTCATATTACATTCTGAATTTAGGTCTAGATTCCATCAATTCTTTAAAAAAAAAAACACATAACATTAGTTGTAAAGAGGAAGTCATATACAAATTGTGCCTTTCCTCTTTAAAATGTTTTAAAACCTCAGCCTCAGTCCAAGAGGAGCCCTGTCTCCATGGATTTTAAAAGAAAGTACTGTAGAATTATAGGAAGTGTGACTTTCACAACTCTAGTATTTTATAACAAAGTATCATTACTGAAGTACAACATTCAGTATGAAATGCCACTCTTAGAATGTCCACTGTTGGATGGTGGGGTGGGGAGAATGTTCTTTAGATTCAGCCAAGAAAAAAAGGTAAGAGCTCCAGATCAATTGACAACCACAGAATCCTCTATGCCTCTGAGGCATCGAACCTGGCTCTTCTCGAAACTTCCATTGGCAGCCCTACCCTCTTTAACAACCCTAGGTTTCTCCCTACCTTCCTTCCACCACCACATAGTACAGATACTATGGCCAGTATGCTATTGCTGTAACATGGAGTATAAGGGGAATTACATAAGTGTCCTCCTCCTACACCATCAGTCTTTCCAGTACATGTCTGGTCATGTACCCTACTGCATTAACCACTGTCGACCTTGATGTATACTTTTACAGTATGTCAATTTCCATTCAATAAGCCAGATCCAACACTATTCTTACAATACGAGTTCCTTCTCCACTGCTTCGCCTTTGCAGTTCTTTTTGGTGCTGAAAACCTGCTCCGAAAAGTTACCCAGCCTTCCAGAGCAGTTTTATAATTTACATGTGTAGGAGAATAGCTCAGAGAAATACACCATTGGATTCTGGTCAATATGATCATTCTGGGTGTTCCCCCTGCACTTGCAGCGACCTGAATCCCATGTCATCAGATTGTCCTTTCCCTAGTTTTTCCTGATGTCTCAGATTCTTAAAAATTCCATCCTGCTGAAATGTCCAGACTTATAGTTGCTGCACCCTACCTCCTTGCCACAACTTTTCTATTCTTATACACCCATCTCCATCAAAGCCTGATATCTCGTTCTCAAACTTTCCTCCCTAAGATTTCATCTATTTCCAATCTATGTTCTTCCCATCCAGATCCACATGAATGAATGAATGAATGAATGAATGAATGAATGAATGAATGAATGAATGAATGAATGAATGAATGAATTCACTCACTCACTCACTCACTCACTCACTCACTCACTCACTCACTCACTCACTCCTCTGTCTGTCTTTTTCACTGACACATTTCAGAAAGTGAAATGATGGCAATAGCTGGTAAAATCTTGGAAAACAGAAGATTGCCAGTGCTCAAATATTAAGGCTACAGTGCTTTACAAATGTTTGTTCTTCTCCCCAGAACTCGTTGAAACAGTCTTTGAAGAAGTATAACCCAATCAGAACTGTGCAAATGAGAGACATCACACAATTTAGCATAGTTTATACAATCCACATAACTCATGTGCAGAAGAATACACCGCTATTACAGTGGGGTCTTGACTTGAGAACTTAATCCGTATTGGAAGGCGGTTCTCAAGTCAAAAAGTTCTCAGGTCAAATCTGCATTTGCCATAGGAATGCATTGAAAACCATTTGATCCGTATCTGCTCTTTTCCGTCCATAGAAACTACTGGGAAGCTGCTATTCTGCCTTCGACCACTAGAGGGGGATATTTGGTTTTGTTTTTTCTTAGGTCAAGAAAGGTTCAGGGAAGGCAGGGAAAATACAGTCCAGGCAGGACAGTACCAGGCAGTCCGAAGACTGTCTCCCAATCCACTCTCTAAACGCTGGGAGGAGTGAGGGAGCAGACAGGCACCCTTTTCACTGGCCAACAGTTAACTGAAAGTTCACATTTTGCACTTTCCCTGCCTCCCACGTGGGTTTTTTTCAGTTCTTAACTCAAATCTAAGTACTTAAGTCAAGTCAACATTTTCCTATAAGAGTGGTTCTTAAGTCAAAATGTTCTTAACTCAAGCCGTTCTTAAGTCAAGACCCCACTGTATAGACAACAGTGACCACTGCTAAACTGCCACACAAGGTGAAGGTCTCACAAAAGCTAACATACTTCTACTCATTCATATTCATGCCCATGTGCTGATGAAAACTATAAGATAGCTACCAACTAAACAGAGTCCATTCATTGAAAACCACTTTGTGGCGTCACCATGTTATTCCAACAACATAATACATTATTTAGTCAACTCTTCAGTAGTATACATTATAAATTAAGAGTACCGGTCTTGACAGGCTGTTGCTCTTCCTGATGCTCTCCCTCAGGCTGTGTCGGCGACGAATCAAAATTTCTTTAGCCTGTTTTTCATTTGCATCTGCTGCTAAACTATACCTATTGTATGATGGAGTCTGAAACAGGAAAACAAAAAGAACAGTCTTATTCTGAAAATGTTTTGTACAATATACCTATGTTCTGTGGTACACCCCAATGAATATTGGGCAGACATTGCTCTGAGAGATGTAAACTTTTGCTCATTTCATTTTCAAAGTAGAACCGGAAACCCCCGAAAAGCTCTCTGTCTGATCGATAAGATGTTGAACATTTTTGCATTTTTCACATCTTTGGAAGGGGGGGGTGAAGGAAAATGGCAATGTTTTCTACACGAAACCTGTATCGTTTGCTGGAATTTGTATTTTGTGCAAAAAAATATGTAGTTTGTACAAAACGCAAGGTTTTATTACAACTTTTTGCCTTTTTTTCATACATTGCAACTTTTTGCATAAAATACAAGTTTTTGGGGCAAGGACTCCATGGACAAAAAAGGTGATGATCTTTTTATTCCAAAAATTTCACAGTAGCTAGTTTAAAAAATACTGCCCAGAAGTACCAGGTAAAAGTAGTGAATAACCACTTTCTATATGTTAATATAACAATAATTAAAACAATTGTGCAATCGGTCAGGCTGAGGCCGTGTGACCATCTGTGCAATTTTAAAGCTAAATTCCTAGTTGCTGGGTGTAACACCCAGAACATTTATATCAGCGTAACTTTACGTTACACCTGCATCAACAGAATGTTACTTCAGTTAGGATGAACGTGATAAAGAGAAATGGCCTTAACACTCCCTTTATATTGTGGTCCACCCTGGAAGGTATATACAATAAAAACAGGTAAGGAACTATTTTGAGCCACTTTACTCCCTATGAGAACAATGGGTCATAAATACTAGTCTACTGATTTTTAAAACAAATAATTGGGAACTTTACCTGAATATTCAGGGTTTATTCAGACTCAAAGCTATTTATGCTTAGTGTCAAAGGACATGTATTTGAAAAAAGCAGTTCTAGTGGGAAGCATTTGCAAACTACTTCTAAGTCTTTCTGCAAAGACAGAAGTACAGCTTGCCATTTTTCTTTGCCTTCACTATATTTATTCATCAGCTTTCTTATACAATAATCCTAAATACATTTGCTTGGAGGCAAGTCCTACTGATTTTAATAGAAATTACTTCCCAATAAGCTTGCTGATGATAGCATCCCAGTGCTTTTAATAGGGGAGAGAAAACATCACCAGCTGAGGAAGTTGATACATTCACAACAGGGTGTTCCATTAATATTGTTTTCTACTTACTCTCTGCCGTATTTGGTAGAGATTCTTTGTTAAAATATCTCTTATATCATCTGCCTGGGTAGGATAAACAGGCTTTGTCTTTTCTTCTTTCTGATGTTCGCTGTGGCAAGATAAAATAAAATAGAAAGCAAAATTCATAATAACTTGTAATAATATGAATTAAATTTTCTCCCAGAAGAAAAAAAAATAAGGTGAATGGTATCCCCAGTCTATCAGTTGCTAATACTTCTATAATAAAAAGATCTGCTTGGTCTAACTACAAGTACTATCCATGTTTTCAAATAGCTTAAAATGTAAGAAAGTAGATACAATACAATAATGAGATCCTCAATTTTACTGGTTAAGGTTGAGCTAAAGATTCTCTCACATACAAACACAGCAGGATTAGATTCAACTTATTTTATAGGCTTGTCAACAGATTCCAGATCAACTGGAACATATATGCAAATATATATTTAAATTATTAACACCTTGAAAAAAAAACTGCAGATACAGTAAATTGTAATTTATCTCACAGGAAAAAGCCCCAAACTATCTGATAGCAAAAAAACTTTGGTTTATTATTAGATTGAAAGGCATTCAATATATTCTTTTTTTATTCATAGGGACACTCTATAATAAAAGCCTTTAAAATACCTTTACTGTCAGTCCTCCATTTATTAAAAAAAGTGGATCCACCAAATAAAGCAGTGTACCAAATAAAACAGTGTAATACTTGATTAATTTACAATTAAATTCTAAATGAGCCCAAATGTTCCTGAGATCATTGTCTGAAGTCCTTCTCAGATACTTTCATTGCTACCAAGATACAGTAAGTTACAAGTAGCAGCTAGCCATTTCTAGTGTTGACACCACGATTCTGGAATACTCTCTCAAGAGCAGATCACTTGATACCTGTCATCAAACCAATGCTCCTCTTATTGTCCCAGGCATTTTAAGTATTTAAGCCATAGTATATAACGATGGAATTGTGCCAACACAAGACCTGTTGAATTAGTGGTTGCATCTTTTTCAGAATTAGTGCAAGGGGTGATATGAAATATAGTCTTATGCAATTAACTATGCAAGAGATTATGCAATCAGTCTCACATCAATGTACGCAACTGCTTGGAAAACTGCATGTGCAATAGTGTAACCAAGCACGGTTGCATAAATAGGGATTTTCACTCTGCTGGTATTATGATGGATTCAGCTTTATCCCAAATATTGTATTCCAGTGTTGCATTATCATTTGTGGGTTTTTTTTTCTGATCTAGTAACTCATTTTCGTTTTTCTTTAAAAATAATAATAATTCTGCTGTCCTTTTTTGTAAATTGTAAATCTCCCTGGAAGACTTAGCTGTAAGCAACGTTACCTCTAATTTTCTGTCAGTGTTGGGCAGTAAACCCCCCACCCCCCATGTGCAGGGATCCAGCCATGACCAGAACCAAATGGGCAGCAACTCTGGCTGCAGGTGCACAGCACTGCTGCAGCACTGTGTAGCTGTGCACCTATGCGACTTAGAGGGAACATTGGAGTGCTGCCTTAAATACAGAAAATACTTCACACACTCTTTTGTCTTTTACTAGACAACCAGTGAATGCAAATGTCAAGGCAAATGATATTTCTGCAAGCAAAATTTAAGTCTCTCAGAATAAAAACTGGGAGTGTTATTGTCCTCTACTGGCTTACCTGAGAGAAGCTAGAGATGGCACTGTGCTGATCATCCCATTCTCTGCCATCTCTATAGCATGCTTTATTTCAAGTTTCTTGTACAAGGCCACTATACTTGATTTGGGCTGGCTTTCCCTGATTAGAAGTTTCCGCAGGTACTTCTTGTCAAATTTTATAAACCTGTAAGAGTCCAAAACAAAGTGGTGGAATAATTAACCTTGCAAGTAAATTACCTTAGTACAGTGGTGCCTCGCTTAACGAGCACCTCGGTTAACGATGAATCCGCATAGCGACGTGTTTTAAGCGATCGCAAAAGCGATCGCATTGCGATGTTTCTAATGGTCAAAAATCGCTTTGCGATGATTTTCGCATAGCGATGTTTTTTTAACAGCTCATTGCCAGTTCCAAAATGGCCACCGGGTAATTAAAATGGCCACCCGCTGTGTTTTCGCGCCCTTTCCTCACTTACCGGGCAGCGAAAATGGCGGCCGCATGGAGGATCTTCGCATTAAGGTGAGTTTTTTGCTCTTAGGAATGAATTAAACGTGTTTTAATGCATTCCTATGGGCTTTTTTGCCCTGCATAGTGACAAATCCGTATAGCGACGATTTTTTTAGAATGGATTATCGTCGCTATGCGGGGCACCACTGTATAAGGTTATTCCCAAAACAAAATAAGCTCTCCTCATCCCATTCTGCCTGAAAATTATATTATATACAAAAGTCTCACCTATGGAGCTATATCATGAGAGCATATATCTCCTTTATGAGGTATTTTAATAAGATAGTTCTCAAATTAATCCAGTAAAAATTGCCACAGATATAAGAGATAAAAAATGTGAAGTTTGACACATTTACCATTTTACTCAAGTTTTAAGACATGCATGTCATCTGTAACAAAAAAAATACACACAAATTCAGCTCAGGCTTCTTATAAAAGGCACTCTTTCATTTGTTTGGTGAAGTTTTGAGTGGCAGTTAATAAAGTGGCAAAAGTTTCTCTGCAACTACACCATTAGCTGCTGGCAAAGTAATACTGTACCATACTATAGTTTCATTTCAAAAGGAAAAGATCTTCCAGTGTTTGCAAAAGAAACCGCCTAGTGGACTCCGTGCTCAGTGTCTATTGTTTTTTCTTATGGAACGCTAATCTCTCAGGGCTAAACTAGACATTGTACTGAAAATGTAGTATTTACTCTTGGAATAACAGAATAATACCTTATTGCTCAAAGCAAGCATGAAACTTCATTCAGGATTGGGATCAACACTTGTGAGGAGGGGCAGTTATAACCTCCTCTCTCTCTCCTGACCCATGTACACACAAACTAAAAGCAGTTCTCTACTGGCACTTATGAACGGCTTTTTTCCTTTCCTTGTTTAAACTCCCAACAAATCAGATAAATACTGGGAGGGCAGTAGACAGAAGGGGATGTTTTAAACCAGTCTTCCTTGTGTGCGGTAGTTCCAGTCTTGAATATGATTTCCATACATATTTGTAATTATAAACTAGAGGGACATCTGAGCACTCCAAGGTTCATGAATCTGTTCTTTAATATTGTGAGTAATTTGGATACAGGGAATCATACATTAAGTGAAAAAATCTACCATTTAATTGCATAAAATAATGAATGCATCTTTCTAAAGTTTTTCTAGGTAGAGAGTACTCAGAGGTTGATCACCATTCCCTTCTTCTGCGAGTGCCCTGAGACTGTGCAATCTTGCTTCAAGGCCACACAGGCTGGTTCTACTCACAGGAGGCACAATGAGGAACTGAACTCCCATTCTCTGGCTCCTCAGTCAGACGCCTAAACCATCTTGCTAACCAAACCAGTTTAAGGCTTTATATACCAAACACAAATCCTTAAATTTGGCCTAGTAGGACAGGTGAAGAAGCTCAAGCATTGCATCCGACAACACAAATGCAGCAATGAGAGCACCCATCCTTGTTGGGTATGAAAGGATTGCAGCCCACGTGCTATCTTTCTGCAGGCAGAAGCACAATGTAAAGACCTCTGTCTTTGCTGTTCCCTCAAGATGGGGGAAGGATGTGCACGGATAAGGGCCTCTGCTTTCAGAAAGAGGGATGCTGGTAGAATAGAACGAAGGTGAGCACAGTGTGCATCTAGAGCAGCATGGGAGGGAGGAACTCAGTTGCTACTTGGTTCAGCCTGCCCCCCCCCAGGTATATGCCTTTTCAGTATTAAGACATGCACAGTTAGGAAAAAGCACCTGAAGAGGGAGAAAAAGAAGAACAGCAGAAAGAGGCCAACAGAAACATTAGCAAAAGCAGCAGGATTCTTCTGTACAGATTGCATCTCATAGTTTGAAATGAACTAATATCTCTGAAGAGGCACAGCCAATGTGGTACACTAGGTAGAATGTTAGGCCTGGAACACTGAGGTGCAGATCCAAATCTTTGGTTAACTATGAAGACTGGGTGTCTTTGGGACAGTCACTTTCTCTTGGTCTCTCCTAAACCAAGAAGTTTTTGTAAACATGAGCAGAGAGAAGATGAGAAAGTACGAAACTTTGAAAAGGTAGCCCAAAATTTACTATAATAAAAGAGGGGGTTGATGTGTGTGAGTAATTTTCATATTTCTCTTTTGCCCCCTTCTTATGGTTCATAGTTCTTAATTACTCCTCTGAATTGAACAGTTGCAGCTCTGTTTTCTGTTAAATCAGAAACCTTGCATGGCAAGAGAACCAGCACACTGCACCCAGTGACTTGTTAGCTTCCTTCCTTGGTACTATAAACAAAGCAATGTAATAAATGATACTGCAGTTGGGTCACCATAGGAGTTTTCCAATGTAAACACCAATACTTTTTTATATAAGGTCTGTGGGGTGTCAATGCAGTTTGAGAGCTGGGAGTTGCAATGCTCCAAAGCCACACAAAGACGTGTGTCCAGATAACAGCCACTTTTCCTAGATGGACTTGAGAGCACTGCATTGCTATTGTATACCCTTGACCAAAGAACAGTACACTCCTTCTCTCTGGGATGGCCATCCTCTTTTACCAAGCACACGGCTTTGTGAGCAAATCAACCCAGGCAACCAATGGGGCGACAGATGTTGCAGCTAGATCACCCTCACATCCATACTGCATTGCTTTAAAACCTTGTTTTAATTTAAATTTCAAGCAAAACGCACATCCCCACCATGCTGTCCTTTTAGAACAGCTAAAGCAAATGACAACATTCCCTTAAATAAGTAGTAAGTAATATAAATGAATAAAATGTCTGCTTGTTACACACCCATAAAGGTAAGTACCTTGCCAGGCGTTATGTTCAATAACAAAAGAAATGGTATGACCCCCCTCAGTACAGTGGACCCTCTACTTAAGGAAATAATCCGTATTGGAATGGTGGCTGCAAGTCAAAAAGTCTGTAAGTCGAATCCCCATTGACCTACAATGCACTGAAAACCGATTAATCCCATAACCAGTGGTTTTTATTCTATTTTTATTCCATTTTGGTTTTTTTTCTGGTCTGTAAGTTGATTCTCCGGCTGCAAGTCGAATCTAAATTTTGCAGCCAGAGAAGTCTGTAACTCGAAAAGTCTGTAAGTCGAGCCGTCTGTAAGTCGAGGGTCCACTGTACTTGAAACATGTAAGACTGTGGCGTGTTGGTTCAAAGCTCTGGAGACTAGGTACATATAGAGAGAGGAAGGCATCTTGATTTTTTTTCTCTCTCAGAAGTCACTGAGATAATCAATAAACTTGATTTTACTAGCAAGGGAAGTGGCACACAGAACTTGATGACTTTGTGCTTGGCAGACAATAAATCTTCAGGTGCATGAAGGCAAAGTGCAAGTAAGTACAGTTTGTGACATGACATACCATCATTACTAATCGCAGAAAATGTTTGTTCAAGTATCAGCCCTGCCTTCCATTTTCCTGGCTTCCTAGCATCAATTTGCCTCCATATAAGTTTTTAAAATAATTAAATATTATTTAGAAAGGCTTCGTGATGGAACTGAACATCAACTGGATGCTCTTCAAAGTTTAGCATACATTTATATTTTGATTTTTGGAATATGACTCTAATTAAAGTCAAGTTTGGAACCCTTATACTTTGACTAGGCAGGAGGAAGAGAATTGAAAAGTTGGGAAACAAAGAACCAACTGCTTAAATTACTTGAATGTTCCATTGCATTAATTTGTAGAATCGGCAAACGTCAGCATGTCAGTATTGAAATAAGGAATCTAATGGGACTGCTCCCTTTGTTCTTCCATGCATTACTTACTTATCTTTCCAAAAATTGTGACCCCAGTGTCCACACACATCTTCAATCCCAGCCTTCACATGATCAAAGAACTGAAATGAAGAAAAAGATTTGTTAGACGTGTTTTCCCATCAGTTTGCTCCATATGGCTTTGAGACATACTATACAATACGTAGTTTCAACTGATATAAGTAAGCATGATCTAGTTTATTTGCAAACTGGTCTATAAATTCTCGGTGTATTATATTCAATCCTGTGACACAGCTGTGTGCACGGGGAAGGGACTGGCATAAGCCTCGGTGTATTTCTACTTCTTCCCATTCCTATCACAACCCGTCTTGGCTACTACATAGTATCGTAGAAAAGTGAAGTTGGAAGGGGCCTACAAGGCCATCAAGCCCAACCCCCTGCTCAACGCAGGAATACTACTTCACATTGCAATGGACTAGCCATAATTTTCAAAGGAACACCTCCATATACATCCCTACCTCTCTTCTGTTATGCAAGTAATTTTGGCTCCAGGGCCTATTCCTAATACATTCATAGAGAAACCTACTGAGCCACATGTTCTCTCTAGGTAGAACCGATAGCCCCCTGGGCTACATAGCTCATGGGGTCCTATTGTACAGTCTGTGGGAAGCAATCTATCATTATGTGTTATCTCCTCAAACTGGCAGAATTTATGAGGCACTGAATACTTCCTTCAGGGAAGTTGCGTCCCTGGTATCCTTTAAGATGCAGTTGTGTGACCCTTGCTAAAGAAGTTTAGTTTACTACCTTCCCTTTTCAAAAAGGTGTTCAGAATGGTGCCTTTTCAGCTCCAACTAGTTTTGGATCAAAAATAATGCATTGATCCACTCTACTCTGGGTTCTAACCTGGCCTCAGGTAACACAAGACTGTGGCGTGTCGGTTCAAAGCTCTGGGGACTAGGCATCTCAATTTTTTCTCTCTCAGAAGTCACTGACATAATCTTGGGCTCTCTTACACAAGACTTGTAGCACAACAAGATACTGGAAATGCAGCCATTTATATTCCTGCTGGTTCACTCAACAGTGCTTGTCACAGCTGCCCATGGTGTGTTTATAGCCTGCTTATCTGTGTTTAGGAAACTTAGTACTACTGAGATTTCAGTCCTTCTTGGATGGTGTATATATTATAAGGCCCCACTGAATGGCTTCTCTCTCGTGTGTGCCACAGTATTCTCAGTTATTTTCTATGCTATTCAACATCTATAATTAAGTGGATAAAATGTAGTTCACAACCACACGTGTCCCCCAATCACAGAGTGCCAGACGTCTTTCCCCACTATCAACACTTTCCTTTTTTTTTAAAGGAGAGTAGAAACTTTTGGAAGCATTATTTAAAATAAGAAACCAGGTCACCTGATTTAGGGGGTGTGGCCTGTGGTGATGTCCCCCCCCTCAGTCCACAGATTATCCTTATTCTGTTCTATCTATAGCCACTGGGAGAAAGAAACCAATATGAAGATGACAAACAGCCCTACTTCTTCTTTTTTCTGCTAATGATTTCAGGTGAACAGCAGATCTCTCAAACATATATCTGGATGCAATACTGGGGTGGATAAGGGAGAACATCATGCAGCTTAATCCAGATAAAATGGACGTTTGGGGACCTGGCACATTGGTCATCTGGACTAGGACGTGACACCAGTCATGGATAAGGCAGCACTGCTTGAAATATTTAGTATACAGTCTAGGGGGCGATAAAGCATTCTGTGCTGCTTAAAAAAATACAGGTAGCTTCAGTGGCAAGAAGGTTCTTTCTACAAGCTTAGGCTTGAATGCTAGCTGTGGACCTAAATCAAGTGGCTGGACCTAGCCTTCTTTTAACTGCACCAGTTACTTACAGACTGATCTACTGGAATATGTACATTGTGTGACTGCCTTTGAAGATAGTCCAGAGGCTGTAGCTGGAGAATCAGCTGTGACTGCCTAGGATCAGAGGATCAACTGCTGAGTGAGGCCAGAAAGTCTGAATGAAAAATATTGGTTTTTGTGCCACTTGACACCGACTATTAGGATAATTTTAGGCACACATTCCAAGTGCAGGAAAAGTGGTTTTAAGGTAGGGACACGAATTTCTCAAGTTTTCATTCTTAGAAACTGAGAAAAAAACCCTTTTAACTCTGCAGCAAGGTTTCTCCATAGGAATTAATTTATTTGTTTTTTTCCCTTTCAGGAAATCTCATGGGATTTCTTGTAAATCTTGTGGTCTTTTTGTCTTCCAGGATAATTCTTCACAGGATTATTACAACGACAGCATAGAATGGCACCTTTCCTGCACAGGAGTCACCTGGGACGGGCAGGAGAAGCACCAAGCTCTGCAGGATTGTTAACTATAACAATTTTCCTCTGCAAAATGGCATCTTCCCTGCACTGGATTCACCAGGGCAGGCATCAAAGTGTGCAGAATTTGGAAACTTCCTGTGAAGAACAAGGGGCAAAAAGGAAGGACGGGAAAGAAAGAGAGACAGACAGAAAGAAAAAGACTGGGATTTTGTTTTCACAGGAAGCTGGGAAACCTTGCTGCTAAAGCAGGAAGTTTTGGTAGTGAAACTTGTAAAATAGCCAAGAAATTGCCCTTATATTAAAGCTTTGAATAGTTTAGGATCAGGTTATCCAAATATCGGTTTCATAGATCTTGCTAATGTGCCTAGTAGTAAATTAGTTAGAATGTGTTGTGTATTAGACACAAGTAATGTACTTGTACAAGCAATGTACCTGTTATGCAAATTCATATATTCTATCAGCACTTCTCTGATTCTCCAATACTGTTCTTTTTTCATGTTATTAAAGTAATTCTTGTCAAATGTACCTTTGCTAAAGAAATTTTATCAGCTTCATGAAGAAACATACAGGAAAAACACAACAGAAAGCTGCTCTGAATCATATGAGTTCCTTTACAATTTAATGGTGATCAGGAATGCATGTACCTTCGAAGCAGGAAATTAGTGAATTGTAAGAGAATTCCAAAGATATGGGGCCACTACCAGGAAAGCCCTTTCTTGTGCTTTGCTGTTATTTTCAATTAAAAGGAAATATGTGAAACTATCAAAACCACTTCTGTTCATTTCCCAGTGATACATGATGCACACAAACTGCAAACATACCCGACAATAAATCTCTTCACTGACAGCTGGTTGCTTTTTATTTGATCTTTTAACATCAAGAAATTCCACCAGTGGGCGAATTGTTATTCCCTGTGCAGAAAAAAGAAACAGAAACAGAAAAAAAGAACATTTAGTCCAGCCCTTAACGTTCTTTTCTGCTATGCTATTTTCACATTATTTTCAGCTTGTAGTTTTACTAATGAATATTCAGTAGGTAACAGAAGGGTGTAGAGATCTTTAAAGACACAGTGTTTATTTTATAAAGCAATGCGGGCACTGGATTCAAGAAAGGGTTTCACATTGTCTTCAGTTGTGGGGAAGTATGTGATATTATAGCAATGAAGTTCTGGATAGAGGAGAAAGGTCCATGGAGCCATAGGAGAAACTATAGGGTAGTCACAGGAGTTGAATGGCCACCATAAAAACAGTGTTTTATCCAGAAATGAAGAAAAGAAATTGCTGGATTTTTGCAATGTTGTGCAGAGCAAGAGGGCAACATACCGAACACAAAATGCAAAGGCAATGGATGGATCAATGATCAATGAAAGATTTATATGAAAAAAATGAGTATATGATCAGTGAGAAAATCAAGGATCCATGCCTGAACAATGAAGTAAATTGTGATTTTGTCACTGGATTTAGAGACTGATCAAGGAGGGGAATGGTTTGAGAGGAAGACACAATGATTTGAGAAGGCAGAAACATATCTTTCTTAACTAGTTCAGAATACAATTTATATAGAAGTCCTTTTGTGATGTATCTTCTCCATTAAACAAAATACCTTTGAGCAGGATGTGATTGTGCAAGAGATAAGATAACAACGTAAGACATTATTTGCATATATTTTTTTGCTCTCTTTTGTTAAACGAACAGCATCAGTCCATGTACTTCTCTTCGGCATGACACATCTACAACTACTTACAGAATTTCAGTGCAAAAAAAACACCACTAATTATTTACACACAAATTAACAGGAAAATTCTTACCTGAATAAAGACAGTAAAGAATATAACCACAATTGCAGCAGTGATGAAAAGCTTCTTTCTAGGGAACACAGCAGAAGGAAGTAGGAAAACAAGTGAAAAACATATGGCTCCTCGTAGACCTCCATAAGCAATAATAAACTGATCCTTAAATGTGATAGGAATTGTCCGGAACACATTAATGATCTGAGTCAAAACGAAAACTCCTACAAAAAACAAACAAGTAAACATACATTTTACATTGGTGATAACTGTCTTCTTCACAAGTAAAAAAAAAGAAACATGAATGAGAATATTTGCTTCTATCCTGGAAGCAAATATTTTCAACTGGTTATAACCAGTTGAAAACTTGGTTATTTAACCAGACCTTCCCTCCAGTCAATTAAGTGATTTCCATTTTTTTTTCCGTCTTCTTGAGTCATGCCATCTTGGAAATGTGTTGTTTGAATTCATTGCTATAATTGTATTTTTTTTATATGTTATTCTGATCTGTTTTTATTTATGTAAGCCGCCCCGAGTAGATGTTGTCTAGAGGGGCGGGGTAAAAATCTAATAAATAATATATAATAAATAAATCTTGCATTATATTATAAAAAACCTATGTAAGCTCTGTTTACTTTTTGCAGAGTAAGGGTTCCTGTACCATTACCAGCAAATCAACCATTCATCTAAAAACCAAAAGGAGACATCTTGGTCTGTTGGCACAAACAAAATTCACAATTCAGCTATATTTTTATGAAGACCAGCCAAAATGTCACAAATATGAACAAAGGATTGAGTTTCCCAGTCTTTTCAACACATTAGTAGAAACACTAGGGAGGAAGAAATGCCACCTTTGTGAATTTCTGTCCATATGTTTCTCATTCTCACCCCACAAACGGGCTGAAAGTTTCTTTTCACTGTGATTGGTGGGTGATTTTCCTTAATCCAAAGCTCCCAATTACCAAGGCAAGAAGGAAAAAAGTATGTGAAGAAATTCCAGGTCTGCTGAAAATTAAAGAAATCTGAGCAGAACATTCCTCAGGGTTCATATTACTAGAGATGGGCATGAATTTAAAAATGAATCACCAAATTCATTTTAAAAATTACTAATTCATTAATTCATTTTTGTACAAACCAATGCCCGACAAATCATGAATCAATGAAATTTTAGCAATTTTTAATTCATTGGTTCCTCTTGGCTATAAAACAGCCTTCAAGGCACTTAGATACACCATAATTGCAGAGACGCTTCCTCTGAACCTTCTATACCAGTGGTCCCCAACCTTGGGCCTCCAGATGTTCCTGGACTTCAACTCCCAGAAATCCTGGCCAGCAGAGGTGGTGGTGAAGGCTCCTGGGAGTTGTAGTCCAAGAACATCTGGAGGACCAAGGTTGGAGACCACTGTTCTATACAGTCTCTACAGGTTTAGTGAAGATCGGATTTCAGATGTCCACGTTATGCACCCACAAAAAGCCCCCCCCAGGAAAGTTCCCCACAGACATCTAGAGACACCAAAATTACAGAGAAGCTTCCCATGACTTTCCTCTACAATCCCTAAAAAAAAATTAATTATATTATATTCATACTGAAAATGGGCAATTTTAAATATTAACATTAAATTTTAAATCACAAACCCAGGAGTAGAATCAACCTATGTAGCTTTGGGCATGCTGCACCATCCTAAGGCACTCCCAAAAGAACAGAATAATAGAGCACTTCTGAATTTCCTCTGTCTAGAAAACCCTAGAAATAGTTGCCATAAATCACAATTTACTTGATGTAATTATCATTATTATTTTAATAGTGCTAGCCTGCTAGTAAATTTCTTATTTCAACAGACAGAAAGTTAGTGGAGAATGGTGACACATTACGTTAACTGTAAATATTAAGTTGGAAAAAAAATTAATTGTATTATGTTCATACTGAAAAGGGGCAGTTTTAAATATTAACATTAAATTTTAAATCAGTGCTAAATTTACATCACATTATTATCCTAAAAATCTTCCTTTAGTAGAGGTGAAAAATCCTAAGAATGATTTAACTGCTCCCTTCTTTCCTTCCCTGGGCCCTCTTTTGAATTTTGGAGGAAGGAAACAGCTGCATACATTTCTGAAGATCCCATTTCTTATACACCCCATCATAAACCATTCCCTTGCTTTTACTTTCCTCCTTCTAAACCTCAATTCCTTGCACTCCTCCTTTCTTTGAGCTTATATTAGGACCCTTGTTTTATTTTATTCACTACATTTATACTTCCCACGTCTAGTGCTGAGGCACTACTCTGGGCAGCTAACATTTAAAAACAAACACCAGCTACCCATCACCAGTCACAAGACAGAAATAATGAGATCCAAAAGAACATTAAACCCTGAATAGCTATAGAAAAAGAAACCTGGATGGCAAGTGAAAGTAAGAACTACTTCATGGTTCTTCCATGACTCTTCAGCTGAGCAACTGACATGTTTATATTTTAGTGTCCTAACAAAGATGTTTAGGGACATGGTGGTGCTGCGGGCTAAACGGCAGAGGCCTGTGCTGCAGGGTCAGAAGACCAAGCAGTCGTAAGATCGAATCCACGCGACGGAGTAAGCTCCCATGACTTGTCCCAGCTCCCGCCAACCTAGTGGTTCGAAAGCATGCAAATGCAAGTAGATCAATAGGGACCACCTCGGTGGGAAGGTAATAGCATTCCATGTCTAAGTCGCACTGGCCATGTGACCACGGAAGATTGTCTTCGGACAAAATGCTGGCTCTATGGCTTGGAAACAGGCATGAGCACCGCCCCCTAGAGTCGAACATGACTGGACAAAAATTGTCAAGGGGAACCTTTACCTTTACCTTCAAGATGTTAGCTGGCTGGAGGTAAGAGGGACGGCTTGTAGGCAAAGGGCCCTTTCAGCAGCTGATCCCAGACTATGGAACAGTATCCCGAGTCAGATTCGACTGGCGCCAACGTTGATGACGTTTCGGCGCCAGGTCAAAACCTTCCTGTTCCAGAAGGGTTTTAATTGAAATTATATCAACTGTGGGTCCTGAAGGCAATTTTTAGAGCATTGTATTTGTTTTTTTAATTGTATTTTAAGGTATCTGGCTGGGGACGCATTGTATTTTTTTAAATTGTATTTTAAGGTATCTGGCTGGGGACCCTGAAGGTGAGAGTTTGATTCCTCACTGTGCCTTATGTGAGTACAGCCAGCCTGTGTGGTCTTGGGCAAGCTGCACAATCCCAAGGTACACCCGGAAGAAGGGAATGGGAAACCACTTCAAGGTATTCTATACCTGGAAAACCCTGAAAAAGGTCACCATAAGTCAAAATTGACTTGATGGCACATGATTTTAATAACCAACATTGTTTTCTGATTGTTCTCACAGATCAAAGGCTGTGTTTCTGTTTTCCTGGGAAGATCAGGCTACGAAAGAGGGACTGGCTCACTCACCAACTAAGTTTCTGAGGAAGCGGACTGTGTCCATGAACACTCACAGTAAAATATAGCAATTAGTCTTTAAGGTGCCACAACATTTTTGTCTTCTTTCATTTTTTTGTTTGTCTTTTTGTTTTGCTTTGCTTCTTGTCTGATATGCTTGCACAGACTAACCCAGGCACCACTTCAAAAACTAGTACGTTTTATAGCTCTGTGGAGAGTAGAACCTAGACCTCCCATTTAAACTCATGTTTTCTCCACCAGTCTTCAAGGATCAATTCCCAAACCAAACACAGTGTTTTAAGCAGGCATCAATATTGTACTTTTGTTGGATACAGATGTAAATCAGCCCTGTCTGGATCTGTATATGTAGGCAATGGAATATGTCAATTTACATCCTGTTGCCTACACATCCACACACCATGATGTGTTTACAATACATTTTGAAGGGTGTTAAGAACATGTCTTACAACTAGTTTCTACTTCCCTCATGAAGTTACTTATTTCTTTGACTAGGACCTTGTTTCACCAAACAGAAGTGCATTTCAGTTGAAAAGTATGTTAAAGTGCAATCTAGAATGTTTTAAACGGCTCTTACCCAGTGCACGCCAAATCAAACAGAACAGGAGTGTGAAACAAACAAAGGCCCAGTTCCACTCATGGTTTTTTCCAACTGTAGATACTCCCATGAAAATAAAGATAAGGGTTTCACTGACACTGCTCAACATCTTCATGAAGTATTTGATTGTAGTATAGGACTTCTGAGACACATTCTCTTCCACATATTTATTCATGGTCATAGCACAAGATGTAATCCTGAAAGAAAACCATATTCAAAAAGAAAGAAAGCCATATTCATTATTCATATCAGTCTCTTCATGTGTTTGTTAGAGTTTACATGCCATGATCCTGGAGCAGGCGTGAGCAAAGGATGGCCAAGGACAACATGCAACCCACAGTCCCCACAACCTCTGCAAAAATACTGACTTCCAAATGGGAGACTATGCCCATTTTGCCACTTAAATGTAATCTGGCCCTCCTGGGTCATTTAGGCCAAAGAAAGCCTTCTCCCCTTTTGAAAAAGGGAAATAACTGGTTGGCTATTTCTTTTTCTAGAAGAAGTATTTTCTGTCTTAAAACAAGCCCAGGAAGTTACATAAAATGGCACACTGCACCCCTTAGAGGATTTTGAACATACAGTTTGCCGTTGCGGTAGCAAAATAGGGGAGGAGGTACTCCAGAACTCCGAGGTGTGGGAGAGATCTATCGATCACAGAGATCAGGACCTTGCATGTAAGGGAACTGTACTGATTTCAATGAGATTTTTAAAATCTGCCTTTACCACAGCAAGACTTTTTCTCCCATGTTGCCAAACATCAAGTCCATTATATGGCATATGACAAACTGTGGCTATTTAAATTGGAATAATCAACTTGTTTCCAGTGCATTGATAATTAAGTGCAGTTGTATGAATACATATATTTTTATTTGCTTGAAGATAGGAAAAACTAATTTTTTTAAAGAAATATATTTGTTTCTGTAATTCTGGAAGGACACTCCATATCACCACTATAACCATGCATGCCAGGTGGCTGCTATAATTAAGTGTCCCCATTTTAGTTATTCAGCATTATGGAATCTGATGCGTCATTATTTCACTTTTCACAAGATGTCATTTCATTACTTCAGATGAACTGTAAATAGATGTCTTGCGTGGGTGGTAATGCTTGCCTCCTTTTTCAGTTTTGAACTTTAAGATGTTTTCCATGACATATCAAATGTTTTCCTAATGCCAGATTCACACCAGACTAAAATGTCGGCTTCCAGATGTCTGTTTTGTCAGCATTACCAATCAGAGCTTGGAAAAATTACTTTTTTTTTCCAGACCACAGCTCTCAGAATACCCTAACCATCATGGCCAAGCTCTACTCCTAGTGAGTGTACTAATACCACACATGTTTACAAAAGTGGAGAAGATGTACTATGTCATATAGTTACATCAATGAAGGTTTACATCAAAATCTTAATGGGTGAATCACACAGCCTCTTAAAGAGTTGGGTGCGGAATGCCACAGGAAGCTTCTCTGATGTCATTTATTTCACCCTCAGCCCCTAAACAGACATCATATCCTTGGTCAATTTGCAATTTGAAGTCTGGATGTGGCACAAGAGGCTAGTGATCTCTGGATCCCCGCTTAATCTGTAAAATGGCTCAGAGTCATAAGAGCAGCTGTGTGAAGTAACTACTCAGTGAGCTATGTTAAGTACAACCCTCCGCATCTCCTATCCCTACACAACAGTGTGAACACAAACTTCACAATTTAGGTTTGTAGTTAAAACAGCAAACACCCATCCCCTATCTCCTCCAAATCTTTTCGCTTGGGAGAGATAGGAGGTGGGAGGGTTAGCTGTTGTGTTATCTTTTCTTTGGGAGAGACAGGAAAACGAGAGGTTACTGTGGTAACTACAAACCCCATGTGTGAAGTTTGTGTACATATGGTTGTGTACTACTACAAAACCTGGGGTTTGGGAAACAATAGTAGAACAAAATATGGGTATTTGCATGAGTTATGGGATTGTGGGGTTCATACTTAACCCATCTCACCTGCATCACTTAGAAATCTGCTTGCACAGTTCCACGAGCTCTTCCACTACTCCTTTTCAGAGAGAGAGGATTTGCAAAAAAATGTTGACCACCAATTATGGCTTTCTCTGCTTTTTGCAAGACTATTAAACCAGCCATTCTGAACGGGAGGTTATATGGCACATTTGAAGTGGACCAAGATTGGAAACCATTATTCACACACCACCTTACAAAGTTTGTTATGCAATTTATACAAGCCTGATTCAACCTGTATTTCTTGTGTTTATGATTGTGGCCAAAAAAGAATTGAGAATGGCTACATACAAGCATCACAGATCCTACTGCTTGCCTTTCATCGGCTCATGAATCAGAGTAGCATTATGGACTGTATCCATAATGACTGGAATAGATCATATACGTGACTGTACTTCACTCAGTAGAATTACTTATAAATGTCTACCCAAAAGTAAGTCTCACACATCACAGTAAAGCTTACTCCCAGGCAACCAATTATTGGTTTGCAGCCTTAATAATACATGCCAAAGAAATGCCAGTTTGGTTCTCTGCCTATTTATCTAACCCAGATTCCAAGGCATGGATTTCAGTGCAGTTAATGTGAAAATGTGTGAAATAATCACATTTACTTACCTAAAATCATCTTCAACCAGGAAAAAGAAAAATGTTTACTGCAAATATAAAACTACATCTCCTCTTGGACCTACCAGTAATACAGGTTATTCTGCACAAACAAGGCAGTTTCTGTCCGGTGACTGGAAAAAACTAGATCACTAAATACAGTCATCAAGTTTCTTTGACCTACAGCTAATGCTTGCATAAGTTTAATGTGCTTCTGAACTGCTAACCATTCTCCTGAGTGGCAAAAACTGGAATAAAATAGATTTAAAAAGCAATTGAATGAGACGTCCTCCTAAAAAGTAAACACAAGCAAAATGCTAGCTTTTCAGAAGTAAAAACATTCCAACTCTGACTAATTCTGATGGATTTTTCGGTACAAGTCAGCACCAGAGATTCGGGTCCTGAATACAGAAAACATTCAAGAAAACAGCTTTGAAGCTGTTCACTACTGTATTGTCTTCTCCTGTTCTTCCCATAAGAGGGGACATCCATGGGTTGTCCATCCCAGTCATGCTTGGAGTACCTCTGCTGAAATTAATGGGCTGATGGTCCAGGCTTAATTGTCCTATTGATTTAAATGATGCTGTTCTGTGCATGACTGAGCCTGGATGCAATGCTATATACCAATGAGACCTAAGTACAATTGCACATAGCAAATGTCAGGAGAGACCCGTGTAAGATAATAGTGCTGTCAGAATATTTATCAGGCACAACACTGAACAAAAGACAAATCAACCTTCATGTAATCTTCAGGTGAATGAATCTTTAGCCCAATAATCTGGCACTGAGCCTAGTTGTGATTATAGCATGCCATATATGCACAGAAAATATAATGTTTGAATGCTCAGCCTAAGAGGCTGGACTTCATTTAGCCCACTCATTTGTGAAATGAGCATCCAAAAACTGTAATGCTTATTAATGTTATAAACATATTCTGATCTGCAATTAAGATATTTTAGTGGGACATAGGACTTTTTCAGAAATAAGTGTTATATAAGAGTACCACTGTTAACAGTAGTTGAAGCTAACTTGTATTCTTGCTAAACCAGTATTTCAAAGTGGTTGTAGTAACATTTCTAGAATAACGGCTCTGCATTTTATATAAATGTTCACTTAAACTTATGTCTTGGAATGTTAAGCAATAGTAATTATTCACCACCCCTGATCATGGTTGCATATGCAGTATTGGGATGGTTTAATATTAATGTTGAGGGCTCCTGTTTCAACAACTCTTTAACTATTTTTTAGAAAATAAAGCTTTATTTAAGTTTTTTTTAAGTCTATTTGCTTATGCTTTAGTTGGATTTCTGCCCATTGTTAAATGATGTAAATTCTATTGATTTCAACTAGATTTTAGCAGCCTGTGTGCAAGGCTGTCCACATTAAAAACAAGCAAAATAGGAATAATATATTATGTAGGTGTTAATATTTTTTATGAACATGCCCTTGCATACTGCCCAGGATATAGATTAGTACCTCTGCGGTCAAGTGAAGAAACTGAGCATCAGATGTTCCATTTCACATCAATAAATCAAGAAACAGAAAAGAGCACAAGGGCTGGGGGTTGGGTGGGATCTGATTCCCTGAAGTTTTCAAAGATGTAGCATTGGAAGGAAGGAAGGAAGGAAGGAAGGAAGGAAGGAAGGAAGGAAGGAAGGCCAAAAGAAGCAGCTCCCAAACCAAAAAGGAACAAGGAAGAAAAAAAAGGGAAGGAAGGAAGGAAGGAAGGAAAAGTCTTTCTTTTGACATCTGTGAGACTACCAAATCTGATTTAGTGTTCTATAATCACCGTCGTCATCATTTTAGAACTGCAGAGCTGGATATTCATTTTTCTCAAGAGGTGGATTGTACTCCACAAATGCTCATGAAAAATAAATATGCAACTGCTAAGGATGCCAAAACATTGTGGTTCTTCTATTGTTATACAGACTTCCCTGCATGTTGTCATTAATGAATAGTTATTCCGGCAAATCAATGAAAAGAAGGCAGTGTATCAATGAAAAGTATTCCTGCCCTTAATAGCTCAGGAGGTCATGATGTATCTAAGTCAGATATTCCACTGTGACAGTCTTGTGCTAACAAGCACAACAAAGAATTTAGCAGCAACATCTGTACTAAGAGATTTATTGTGACACATGCTTTCATGAACCAAAGCCCACTTTATTAGGTGTATTAAGTACGTATTCAAAATTGGCATCTTCCTTAGAAGCAAAAAGGCAACTGCGGGATTATTAGTTGCTCCAAGATCTATTAAGCACTTCAAAAATGTTACTATATTTTCCACTTTTTCAGTTATGCAGGCTTATTTTTAGTTTTTACAACTGAGTCGTTTTATTTCATTAGTTTCGCTATGTTACTGGAAGCTCTTTTTTGCATTGGGTACAGTCAAACTGAATTCCAGTATTTTATATGAGACTCTTATGTCATATTTAATGGATGGTGTAACAAGGTTACAAACATACAATAAGCAAAAATAGAAAAACAGGAAATATATAGCAATGGGTGCATCATACAGTAGCGCAAGGGTCAACAGAAGTGAATTATATACCTCTTGTGCTGTGGCACACAAACATTGCTATAGCTGGTAGCACACTCTTCTGCTAGTAATTATGTATCCCTCTGGAACAGTTGTAAACAATATTAAAATATTAGCGGGCTCAGAAGGTGAATTCCGGCCCCTACTGCAGGACACAGCAGACCCAGAAATGGGTGAAACATGCCACTTGAAAAACAAAGAAAAACAAAACAGAAAGTGTCCAGATAGGGATTTCTCATTTTTCAGTTTGTGGGGGATCTTAGAGGACCTTACCCCTCAAGAACTCTAAATAAAAGCCACCACTCCTGGAGGCCTTCAGGAGCAGGTATATATCTTTTTGACCTTTTTTTGGTATATTTTTAAATGGGGAGTACAATGCTTTGGTGGGGGGTTACAAAATGCCCATGGGTAGGATGTCAACATATCAGCCACTTGAAGATCTGCCCCCCCTTTTTCAATGATACAAAGGCAGCCACCTTATCTACCTACACCCAGACCACCACCACCCTGTGAAATTTCCTGGCTGAACAGGGAAACTGGAGACTTTGATTGGTAAATCAATTGTGGGGTTCCAAAGAGCTCGATCATCTCCCCAATGCTGTTTAATATCTATATGAGGCCATTGGGTGGGGTCATCAGAGGGTATGGAGCTTTGTGCCATCAGTATGCTGATGACACGCAGCTCTACATCTCCTTTTCACCTACTTCAGTGGGTGCCGTTCTGTCCCTTCAGCATTGCCTGGAGGCCATACTGCAATGGATGCAGGAGAATGGGTTGAGGCTGAACACGGACAAGACGGAGGTCCTGAGGTGAGTGGCCCCTCCATTGGCAACTTGGGAAATTCCCTGTCTTTTTTGGAGGGTGGGTGACTCTCGCCGCAAAGAGTGAGGTTCACAGCTTGAGAGTATATCTGGACCCGGTGCTCACCATGGAAACCCGGGTGGCGTCAGTGGTCCGCTCCACCAATTACCATCTGTGGCGGATTGCCCAGCTGCGTCCCTATCTTGATGGTGGGGCCCTCACCACTCTGGTCCATGCACTTGTAATCTCGAGATTAGACCACTGTAATGCACTCTACATGGGGCTACCTTTGAGACTGATGCGGCTGCCAGATTACTGTGGCAGGTGGGCCAGATAGGCGGGGTATAAATTAAATAAATAATAAATAATAATAATACTTAGAGGAATGAGAAATTCCAGCTTATCTCTCCCATTCTGGCTGCTCTGCATTGGCTGCCCATTCATTTCCGCATTGGCTTCAAAGTGTTAATAGTGACATACAAAGCCCTAAATGGTTTAGGACCTCAATACTTGGCAGAACTCCTTCTCCCACCTAGATCTACTCGAGTCACTCAACATAGCCAGGAAAGACAGCTGAGGGACCTGACGCCGAGAGAGGCCCGGAAAGAAAGAACAAGAAACCAGGCTTTCACTGTGGTGGCCCCTCGACTTTGGAACAGCTTGCCGCCAGAGATTTGCCTGGCACCCTCGCTGGGTGTTTTCAAGAACCAATTAAAAACTTGGCTCTGTAGGAAAGCCTTCCCTCCTGCCAAAACTTGACTTCTACTTTTCTTGGTTTTGCTGCTTATTCCATCTTGATTATAGTATTATTCTAGATTTTAATTGTTGTTTTTAAGTTGTTTATGCACAATATATTGTGAGCCGCCGTGAGTAAACTCCTGTATAGAAGGGTGGGATAAAAATCCAATAAGAAAGAAAGAAAGAAAGAAAGAAAGAAAGAAAGAAAGAAAGAAAGAAAGAAAGAAAGAAAGAAAGAAAGAAAGAAAGAAAGAAAGAAAGAAAGAAAGAAACATTCCATGTATTCGGTGCCCAGATGCCATTTTATGCCCAGTTAAGAAAGAAAGAATAAAAACAAACAAACAAACAAACAAACAAACAAACAAACAAATGTATTTTATCAGCCTTTCTCATAAAAAAGCTGTGGGGGTTCATTTTGTAAGAAAAGACACAAACTACACACAGAGATATAACTGCTGGTGAATGACAATGAGAACATGGCATGGCAATTCTGTATGAACTTCAAATATGAGGTCAGTCTCAGGAGTGGACATTTGGAAAGCACTATTCAGATCGTTCCCCTGAATAACTAATAGCTGCCTTGGCTGAATCTTTCCACAAAACTACAGTGACCTTTGTCAATTTTCTTTCTCTCCATATATTCATTTTCAGCAAGCTTCAAAACTACCAGGCACAGGACATTTCAAGGAGTTATTAAATACTATGCTAGTCACAGTCTTGTACAATATGGGAACAATAGTGCATTTCCACTTATATTACAGTACTAATGCCTAGTGTCCCTTATCCTCCATGTCCTTGTTTTGGAAATGTCTTTCCTGGTTTTGGACAACAAAGCAGTGACCACCCTATATATTATCCCCCCGTCTTGGAATTTCTAAAGTATTTGATATATGTATTGTGATCTTTTTAAAAATTCACAAAGGAACATACATTTTCATCCTTCTGGGGCAGACAGAGGGAAAGTGTCTTGAGGGTAAGCTTACTTAGCGTCACCTAATAGCTGAAACCCAGTAAAAAGCCACAACTAGAGAATACCACTGAACTGATACAGATTTTGGGAGCCAACACCTATGTAAGTTCCACTGGTTCAACGAGTCTACTCTAGTTGTGACTTACTACTGGATTTCAGCCAACATATTTACGTGAGGTTGTTTGAAGATACAAGAAAGTAAACAAAAAGACAAGTTTTTGTGATTAATTTACCTACGTACTCTGTTGCGCACATATGCTGCTATAGAACATATATATTACATACAATGTCCATGTGGAATGGAGATATTAACTCAGACAGCTAGTCTGCAATTACTTTCTTTCAGTTACTTCCACAAAAATCTATAAGCTAAATTGCGAGAAAATCTAACAGTTCTCCTTTACCTTTTAAAATTTTCTACTTTGCCTTTTTAACGTGCATCAAGAGTACCTGAACTGAATACTGGCATCTATGCTTATTCATTTCTCACAGATAAATCCTGGTCAGCTTGAAATAAAAGCAGAGGTCCACATTCCAAATTCATTCCTAGTATTCTTAGCACAGTGTGGTCTTTATGGATACTTACGCCATAATGCCTGAGAGGTGAAACATTTCGGCTGTTATGTATGCCAGGTAGCTGTATAAGAAGACAAACAGTGGCTCAATCACTCGGATTTTATGGGTATAACGAGTAGTAAAAGCTGCTACAAATCCCAGAACGATTCCAATCAAAACGCCACCAGTGCCAACTACAAAAAAATTAGCAATTCCAGCAAATACATCAATGGCCTCAATTGTATGCATCTGGCAAAAAGATTTGAACAAGTTGTAGAGGACCTGTAAAGGGAAAAGGTTAAATTTTTAGAATCCTCTTCAGATCATCATAGTGTAACTTTTCCTGGAAATATAAATTATATAATATTAATATATATAATTGCACACAACAGAATAAATTAGAAAGAAATTATAGAGTAGTCGAGAATCCAGTCAGTAATTTATGCATTCGTAATTTAAACCACATAACTCAGTGGAACTAATTACTGCTACCTAAAGAGGACAACCCAGATAGCGTGGTTGCTAACCTTGAGTCAGACATCCTGGAGAGTGAAGTCAAGTGGACCTTAGAAAGCATGGCTAACAACAAGGCCAGTGGAGGTGATGGCATTTCAGTTGAACTATTTAAAATCTTAAAAGATGACACTGTGAAGGTGCTACACTCAATACGCCAGCGAGTTTGGAAAATTAAGCAGTGGCTGGAGGATTGGAAAAGATCACTCTACATCCCAATCCCAAAGAAGGGCAGTGCCAAAAAAATGCTCCAACTACCGTACAATTGCACTCATTTCACACGCTAGCAAGGTTATGCTCAAAATCCTACAAGGTAGGCTTCAGCAGTATGTGGAGCGAGAACTCCCAGAAGTACAAACTGGATTCCCAAGGGGAAGAGGAACTAGAGACCAAATTGCTAACATGCGCTGGATTATGGAGAAAGCCAGAGAGTTCCAGAAAAACATCTACTTCTGCTTCATTGACTACGCAAAAGACTTTGACTGTGTGGACCACAACAAACTATGGTAAGTGTTTAAAGAAATGGGAGTGCCTGACCACTTTATCTATCTCCTGAGAAATCTGTATGTGGGACAGGAAGCAACAGTTAGAACTGGATATGGAACAACTCATTAGTTCAAAATTGGGAAAGGAGTATGACAAGGCTGTATATTGTCTCCCTGCTTATTTAACTTATATGCAGAATACATCATGCAAAAGGCAGGACTGGATGAATCCCAAACCAGAATTAAGATTGCCGGAAGAAATATCAACAACCTCAGATATGCAGATGATAGCACTCTGATGGCAGAAAGTGAGGAGGAATTAAAGAACCTCTTAAT